AGGGGTGTAACCAGTAGTAGAATGTACTGATTGATTGTAAACTGTAATAGCGGTTATAGCCAGGTCGATCATGTTTTCTTTTGGGGTTTCCTTACGTAATGTTCTTAATTTTTCGATAAGAGTACTATGAAATCTCTCTATAGGAGAATTAGAGTTGGGGTTTTTCGCGGTGGTAAAATGTAAGTTAATTTTAAAAAGTTTGCAGTATTCCCTTAGAACAGAATTATTACATTCGCATCCGTTATCACAAGTTAGTTTTTCGGGGTAATTATGGTGTGAGAAAAAGTGTCTCAATTTGTTTAATATAGTAATAGCATTTTTGTCTCTAATAGAGTAGGCTTGCGCGTACTTAGAAAAAGTGTCGATAATAATCGTTAGAAATAGGGGAGAGTGGTACACAATGAAACGATTTTTCGAATATTTTGTATAACTTCCGATGTTATTATTTAAAGAATTTAATTTTTTTGTTGCATAGTTATTGGATATTTAGCTATAAATCCCCGTAGTTAGTTTTTAAAAAACCATACTGTTTAGGTAAAAAAAAAAATAAAATCTACATGGATGTTTTTGTATCAATGTGTAGTACAGTTTGAAACGGGGTAGTACACAATGAAACAAAATGGTACAAGTATAAAAATATTTATTATTTAAAAAAAATCAGTTGTGAAAGAACGAAAAAATTTTTTATTTTCAAAAAATGTTGGTAAAAAACTAAAATAAACTAAATCAACTCAAAGAAGGAACAAAAACATTTTTTCTTTTCAAAAAATACTTATCGGTAAAAAAGTAAAAAACTAAAATATTTATTTTTAATAAAAAGTAATAACAAAAGATTTTAATTAGCGTACAATCATGTTACCAAAATCAACTCCGAATTTAAAGTATGACGAAAGCCTTTTATTATTTGTTTGTATCGGACTCGGCAACAGGATTACAAAATCTGATTTCAGTGCCATATGAATGTCCGGAACATCCGGGAAATAGAATGAATTTGAAACTTTTGCACTTTTTCTCAAATACGAAATTTTAAATTCGTTAGAGTTTACAGCTTCCAAAATTTTAGCAACATAGTGAACATTATTTTGAAATTTGACCAAGAC